TTCCTTCGTTGATTTTATCGAAAATTCTAATTTTCTCTTATTTGTGACTCGGATGTAAAACGTTTCGTGTTTCATAAACACATCTTGAAAGCAAAATCTGACTCTAATGTGTTAATTTATATAATTCAAGAAAAACATTTCACATTTCTTACTCGATATTCTGTTTTTGGGACTATTTTATGAACACTGAGTGCATGGAGTTTTTATACATGACAGGGCTGGGCGTGGCCAGGTGGTTACCATTTGTGGTGTTCAAGTGGAGATACGTCTCTAAATACTTTCCATGTTTCTACTCAACCTGACACTTCGGTTATGAGTAACTAAGTAACACTTGGTTGGTGCTGACTGGTTCATTTTCGTCAGGGTTAAAGTCCTAACTTAGGGATAATTATGCATGAATATTGGCGTTTTCTGGCTTGGCTGTTTAACCAATGTTAAATACATTTAAAACTAGAGAGACAACGGTGATCATATTCAGCTCTCAAAAAATACGAAAATGTGTCCGTATGTCCGTCGTTATCAATAAACACAGACCATTTTCGGCAGGACAACGAGGAGTAACATTCTACATATGTACACCAAGTTGCACCAAAATCCAGTTATTTTGGACTGAGTTATAGAGCAAAACTAGCGTGAAAAATCGGTCCCCATGTTAAGAGATAGAGATATTTTGGATAATCGTGACCTTTCATCTTGACCATCCAAAAAACTATACACTTCTAAGTTACGTCATAGTTCAAATGTATACCAATTTTCGTCCAAATCTATTAAGCCGTTTTTGAGAAATCTTGCTGACAAACACACACACATATAGGTGTAAACATAGATTCCGTCCAACTTCGGTGGCGGAGTTAATAAAATAAAAATATAAATTTCCATTAATAATGTTTCTTGTTAATTTAAGCTATATCATATATTGACTTTCTTACGTGGGTGTAACTGTATTCAAACATTGTCCTAACACAGATTACGTGGGTGTAACTGTAACCATATGTTGTCCTAACACAGATTACGTGGGCGTAACTGTAACCAAACCTTGTTCTAACACAGATTACGTGGGTGTAACTGTAACCAAACCTTGTTCTAACACAGATTACATGGGTGTAACTGTAACCAAACCTTGTCCTAACACAGATTACGTGGGTGTAACTGCAATCACACCTTGTTCTAACACAGATTACGTGGGTGTAACTGCAATCAAACCTTGTTCTAACACAGATTACGTGAGCGTAACTATAACCAAACCTTGTTCTAACACAGATTACGTGGGTGTAACTGTAACCAAGCCTTGTCCTAACACAGATTACGAGGGTGTAACTGTAATCACACCTTGTTCTAACACAGATTACGTGGGTGTAACTGTAACCAAACCTTGTCCTAACACAGATTACGTGAATGTAACTGTATCCGTATGTTGTCCTAACACAGATTACGTTGGTGTAACTGCAATCACACCTTGTTCTAACACAGATTACGTGGGTGTAAATGTAACCAAACCTTGGTCTAAAACATATTACGTTGGTGTAACTGCAATCACACCTTGTTCTAACACAGATTACGTGGGTGTAAATGTAACCAAACCTTGGTCTAAAACATATTACGTGGGTGTAACTGTAACCAAACCTTGTCCAAACACAGATTACGTGAATGTAACTGTATCCGTATGTTGTCCTAACACAGATTACGTTGGTGTAACTGTAACCAAACCTTGTCCAAACACAGATTACGTGGGTGTAACTGTAACGATACGTGGTCCTAACACAGATTACGTGGGTGTAACTGCAATCACACCTTGCTCTAACACAGATTACGTGGGTGTAACTGCAACCAAACCTTGTTCTAACACAGATTACGTGGGCGTAACTGTAACCAAACCTTGTCCTAACACAGATTACGTGGGTGTAACTGTAACCATACGTTGTTCTAGCACAGATTACGTGGATATTACTGTAATCATACGTTGTTGTAACACAAATTACGTGGGTGTAACTGTAACGATACGTGGTCCTAACACAGATTACGTAGATATAACTGTAACCATATGTTATCCTATCACAGATTACGTGGATATTACTGTAACCATACGTTGTTGTAACACAAATTACGTGGGTGTAACTGTAACGATACGTGGTCCTAACACAGATTACGTGGGTGTAACTGTAACCAAACATTGTCCTAACACAGATTACGTGGGTGTAACTGAAACCAAACCTTATCCTAACACAGATTACGTGGATATTACTGTAACCATACGTTGTTTTAACACAAATTACGTGGGTGTAACTGTAACGATACGTGGTCCTAACACAGATTACGTGGGTGTAACTGTAACGATACGTGGTCCGAACACAGATTACGTAGATATAACTAATCATCCTAAGTTTCAAAATATTTGATATTTTCATCTAAATAAAAGAATATGATTTACCTAACTTGTAACACATCGTTATCAGTTGGAAACCAAGTATCGGTTCCCGAATTCCTAGTCTACAAAAACCATCTTGGATCAGTGTTGCCTTTTATATAAATCCATTTATAAAAAACACGATGTAGGACAAAAACATACAGTAATTTACTTGATTTTTTCTTTGAAAAGTCTTCTTGACTAACATCATAATATATTTAAAGTAGAAAATGATACTTGATATGTAAATACTAACTCCCTTTATATTAATTATACTTTTCTTTCACTTTTACAAAGAATCTTGTTTGAGATCAAACAACCACAATTAGTGCCTTTTTATCTCAGTTTTCTTTGTGATTAATATCACTGCACATGATTGTAAACGAAGTATAGACTGGGGAGTTTTATTATTTTTTGCGTCTGTATTTGGTTAATCTACATGATTATCAAATGATCTAGAAAACCACACATATATATTTTATTGTTTACATTTTACTATTATCTAAGCAATACTTTATGTAGCACCTACCGCCAGAAGTGGATAGTCCTAAACGAATATTGGGATTGACAGTTACTGATATTGAACACTGACAACCAAAAAATATGAAGCGACTTTGGTAGCACAATGTCTCGAACCGGAGACCCTATCCAGAGTCCGATACGTTAACTGCAAATCCACGCTTCAATCTTCCTTTCTACTGATCACAACACATTCTAAATTTAAGATGTATTTGAAGTTAATGTTATCAAATGATATGGCAAATTTTCATCACCTTGTTTCTCTGATCAACAACAAAACCGCAAGATTTTGATAAATCTAAACAAAGTGTACAATGAGTTTTAGGTATTATCATTCCTCTGTTTACTTAGCCTGTAAGTTCAAACAAGATGTTTTCAATTTATCTGACTAAATCTTCTTAATTTTGTTATAAGTAATAATCCTTTGCTTATTAAAACATGTTTTACTATTTACTGGACTTCTATATCTTAATACTTCAAGAAGTAGCAACGATATGACTCAGACAAAAGTAACAAATCTTAAAACTATTATGTTAAAAGAAATTTTAAATACTCAAATACGGAGTGTTTATGTACTTTTACAACATTGAAAATGGTTAAAGTGTCAATGAATTGACGTTTAATTCCATCAAGAAAACATAAATGCTTTATTTCTTAGCAAACTTTTTAAAGCTGAAATGTTAAAATAATACTTTTTATGGTAATTAGAAATGAGTTTATTACCGAGAGAGCTAAAGTACATAGTTTTTAATACTGCAACACTTGTAACTCACTCTTCGTTCATTAGACTCAATTCTTCATGATGATTATTCTTAGCACTTAAGCAGTTAAGTATAATTTAAGTACTTCTGTTTGAATTTAACATTAGTTACACATGATGCTTTAGTCCTTTCTAGACAGATGTATCTGAAGTGAATTGGACTGATTATTCGTTACTCATATTTACTTTAGATGTCAGCATTTTATTTTCTGTTAGATTTCACATGCCTTTCACTCGGATCAAATCTAATTTACATAAGAAATCAATATTTATTGATTTGAATATTTAATGGAATAACTTTGCTGACTTATTGTTTTAAACATTAATCAGATTATTGTAGCTGGAAGGCTGTGCAACTGTGTGACGTATTTCATGTTAATTGTAGTACCTAAATCTTTGTCAGCCTTTATTATTATGCTGTTATTAACTAATCCATGTGTATTTAAAATAATATATATGGATCTTCCTTAATAATCTCACGAACCCGGTATTTCTCTTATAGATACCCGAACATTTACTTTGTTCCTTTGTAAGATTTCTGCAAATAAAAACTCCCGTGTTTTTCTATGTTCAATGTTTTTATTTGTTTGTTTGTTGTTAAACACAAAGCTAAATAATGAACTATGTGTGTTCTGTTCATCTCTGGTATCAAACCCCAATTTTTAGCGTTATAAGCCTTCAAACTTACCACTGACGGTTTATAATTTTTTTGCACAACAATGTTTGATAAAGGTAAATGAAATCAAAACCAGTTTGTATTATCTTTCACTAAACGATCAGAATGTTTACTTTGCTGGTTTGTGAATCCAAGAGTGTTCATCTATCTTCTAGTGTTACTTACTCTTGGGTTTTATGTATTTTTTGCAGCGTGGATTTTCCTGACGGATTGATTGCAACAGATAATTCTTCATGATAGGCCAATGAACAAGACAACTCTACCTTTCAATATATATATATACCTACAGGATATCATCGGATTAGTATATCGTATAATTAAATTCGAAAACAAAAATTAAATGTATTTTCAGGAAAAAAGGTGGCAGCTCTTTAATAATAAAATGTACAGAACCCTTATGGAAACAGACAGGGACGAAAACTCTACCATGTCTATGCTGTCTACACTGCCTTTCAAACATCATATAATTTGTTATATTCATATTTATGTTTCTATCAACAAAAATGGATTACGTTAAAGCATCACACAATCATCCTTGAATTAATGATATTATTTTAATTAATAACAGATATGTTATAAGAGAACTTTTAGAGATTTTAAAATATCCAGACTTTAACACCAACCACCATATCTCTTTCTAGGTAAAGCTTGTGAAATTTCTTATGTGAGACTGAAATTTCACTCTAGTCGACCGGAGAGTTTTGGTCTGTACAAGCGAACTGCTGAGAACTCCGAATGGATTCCTTTCCAGTACTTCAGCAGCACTTGCCAAACAACCTATGGGATCCCGCCAGATTTGTATGTCGTGAAAGAAAATGAAACAACAGCATTATGCACATCGGCATTTAGCGGTATATCACCTCTGACTGGAGGAAGTGTTGCTTTCAGCACATTGGAAGGCAGACCTGATGCTTATGACTTCGATAACAACGCTGCACTGCAGGTATGATCATTCTAAAACGGTTGTATAAGCATTATTATGATGATACATTGTTTTATTCGTTCAATAACAGCCAATTACAATGTAAGCTATCAAACTGGAACTGTAGACAAACGCTTTTAGTTTAATACAACAGAGATGGGTACAATCTCGTAATATTCAAATTTCATACCGTTTGATTCACTGTTATCATAATTATTTCTAATATTATATGTCTGTTGTTTTACACGAATCGTTGATTCAATAGTGATTCGCTGCGCATCTACCGAAACTG